TGTGCTACTAATATTGTTACTGACACTAAACGTTTAAGATTCATCTTCAGGGACCCGAAATTTTGCTTTTTTCCGGAGTGAGTGTTTCCTATGTTTCTCGTCGAGAAGGACGGCAGGTGGTTAGTTATGTGCCATACTCGGCACTAGCTCAATGGCTTTGTTATTGGGCTCGTAGGCTCCATCCGCTACTTTGGCGGTGTAGCTCGTAGGCTACGCGGGTGTGGGGGTCACCCTTGGGCTGCAAACCCTGGCTGTAAACCCTCCTTGGCCCATTATCGCCACCATCTCACTTCATCCCGGCGTCGACAAGGCTAGCCGAGCGTGGGAAAGTGGGAGATGGTGGTGGTAACGGATCAAGAAGCCCCCCGGATCGCTGTGCCTCCAAATTTGACACACAACACGCCCGTAGGTCGTATTCCGTCCTCCATTCACAAAATGCAAATGTTCGACATTGTAGCGTGCTGTATGCCACTAATGGCCCACTACTTAGTTCGGCCCGGTAGCCAGTCGAAAATAGTAATCGAATCGGCTGCTGCAGTACGCAAGTAAAAAAAAAGATATGAAGTTGCTCGCCTCTATGCACCGGTGGGGAATCGAACCCCAGATAGCGCGACGTTCATTCAGATCAATCTCTTACTGAATCAGCGGGTGGCCCCTCCACAACCGGTGCTCAAGTCTTCTCGTTTCGGGCGTGGTAAGTGTTCAGCTTTGAATCTTGTTGACCGCCCAGCCGGTTCAACGTGGAATCGTCGTCATGCAGGATGTGAGCACAGCGGTCAGTTCAAGTGAAACATTGAAACAAAAAAAAACGGGTGCCTTCACAATACTACATGCACCCCCGAGACGTACATCTGCGACATCAGATTGAGTCGGAGATTGTACCATAGACAACCGGTGCTTATAGCATTCGATTCTGAATGCTTGTTGGGCCATACATCGCCAGTGTTTCTTACCTGTCTTTGCTCCTTGTCGTACCGTCTTGTTACGAGCTGGGTCAGTGGGGTCTTTCTGCGCTCAGGACCGAGAACAATAGGGATAAATCTCAGTCGCTTCCAAATGCTTGATCACCGCCCAAAAGAAAGCATTCTACGACGCATATACAAGCATTGGTGGGGAATCGAACTCCAACTTGCCAGTGTAATGATCACCACCTTCTACGCGAGTGCATCGGCAGGTGTACCACACACCACCAGTGCTTCCAAGCTACCTATCCGACGTCTTCAGGAATGAATCTTGGTTCGGCTGTGTAACAACGGAGCTTGATTTTACGTTCAAGGCGTGGAAAAAAATCTTGCGCCGTGCGGCGCTACGCAACCTTGTTCTGCGCCGTTTGTTCATCTACTAACTATTCGAACCACCTTCGTTGAATATATACCCTGCCCTTTTCCCTTACCTAGGCGCTACCACTGGGCCCTACAATTGGGCCGTACTCCGATGTGGTTCAACTTTCGGCCCGGCTAGCCGGGCCTAAGCTCTGCCAAGCTGATCCGTGCGATGACGCAGAGATGACGTCGCTGGAGGCTCGTCGTACAAAAGGCCCCGCTGAACGCTCCTCCTGTCTTCAACTCCTCTTCAACCCACCATGTCCGACCTCATGAACAAAGCCAAAGCCGCGCTCTCGGGCTCCGGCTCGTCCGGCACGACCGGCCACACCGGCATGCAGGGCAACAACCAGGCGGCCGGCGGGCAGGAGGACTACGTTGACAAGGGTTCGTTACCCTCCTCCTTCCCATACCTTCCCTGTCGCTGATTAGAGTTGCAGGCCTCGACTTCATCGAGAAGAAGCTCGGTCATACCCAGAACCGTGGCGTGAACGAGAAGATCACGGACGCCGCCCGTGAACAATATGAGAAACTGACCGGGTTCGTCGTTGTGTTCTTTCTCAAGCAATTCTGTGTGAGCTGACTTTACTTGTAGCAAACCCGTGTCGTCCAAGATCTCCAATTGAACCAGACCAATTCATGGACAGTCGATGTAGCAGCAGCAGTGTACTTTAGTTGTAACTCATAGCAAAACGATTCTTCCGCGCATAGTCTCTGTCGTGCACAAATTACCGACCCTTCAACGCTCGGTATTCTGCCAGTACCGGATATGCCGCAAATATTCTCACAACAAAAAGCGCAGACTGTCTTTATGCACCAGTCGGGAATCGAACCCGTCTCGTCAAGAGGCATTGTCTGGAATTACAGAGACATTGCGCCGACGTGCGTTCCATACGCCACTGCTGCCCGTCTAGCTTTCGGTTGCCTGCCCAACTTTTTCCACCCAACCTTTCCTACCCAACTTTCCTTGAACTTTCCCTATTACGGCTTTTCCTGCAAGCAAGAGCCCGAACGAGCACCCAACCGCCTAGGTTGCACCCAACGCGGGAAAAGCACGTCCATGAACCTCAATGCTCACCGCGGTCCGGCAGAAAAGGAGATACTTGCAGTCATTTATACTCCCGACCGAACGCCCAAGGGTGGAAGGGCTGAGGGAACCAAAAAAAGGAACTTCAACTCTCGTTGCGATGCACCAGCGGGGAATCGAACCCCCTCCGTCGGGAGAAAGCGTGTCGGAAAAAAGCCAAATGCCTTGCAAGGGCTTGAAGCAGTTTGAGACCTTGGAACGGCTTGTGAGCACTCTCAAGTCGCCCAGCCAAGCCTTCTAAGCACTTACAAGCCACGGCAAGGCATGGGGGCAACCCAGAAGGAGTCTCAAGGCGTGGCAAGGCATGCGAGGCCTGGAACGACTTGAGACGACTTGCAACATATGAGCTTTTTTTTTGCAAATACCTCCTGTAAAAACATGTCCTTATCTTGTTTTGCACCGTCGGTCGCAATAAAGGACATACAGGCTACAGCAGACAGGCTCGGGGGAGAGCGGGGGACACGACTCGGTTCGGGATTCCGTGAGTATGTAGCGAGCCGGCTCAAATTTCGTCATTAAGCTTCCTACTCAGATTCTATCAATTGATATTTGCGTGCGACTTTAAATGAGCAGCGGGGTACGCGGCGACGAGCGCCGAAGGCGTTCAAGTTGGAATCGGGGAAAATCGGGAAGACCGAGTGGAGCGTGACGTCATGGTTGACTATATCAACAGCAGCCCTGTGACGCTGTGACTCATTCTCCTTGCCTTCGTTCCACCACCACTACCCACTGCACCATCGTCGTCCACGCTGGTCGCACCGTCAGCCCGCCTCTCATACCGCCCTCCCCCTCAGACTCATGTATCCCGTTCTGTAACGGTTGGCGTATGCCATTTACCCGTACGAAGGTTGTCCCTTTCTTCGTCGCTGACTTGCCCGCAGATTTGTGCCTGTACTTACAGTATGTCGTGGTCCCTATGGAAGATACTCCCCTCAATGTGGCCAGGTATGCAATGCACGACCTCGCCGTGCTCGGGCCGTTACTAACGTCACCGGGATAGCGCGGGGGCGCACGTACCTGTTAAGGTGAGCAGGTTATTGTTTCCCTCCACTGCGCCCTTGTGGAGCTACGGCGCACCGCTTCCACCATTGTGTAGTTCTGTATCTACGTAACTTACATTCGTTGAATATATATGATTTACACTGTATCGTATGCCCGATGTGAGAATGGACTAGCTGGAATGAACTGCTACCACCCTGTTGCCTTTTAAATTATCAGGTGGGTTCTAACGCCTTGTGACGCACCGCAAGGCCATTTGGCACGGGTAGACTTGGGAGGCCTTGAGATCCACATCCTGGCTTGGAAGTACTCTCAAGAACCTAACATTTGCGCTGCAAGCCGCCTAAAACCAAATGACCTTGCAACGTCTTGCAAGATGTCTGAAGACGTTGCAAGTTATTTGAGTTTTTTCCGACACGTGGCAGAGCTCGATAAATACCGACGCGTGCACCATGCACAACCGGTGCTTTCTCCTCTCCTTGGACCTCGTTCTGGGTGCACGAGCTACCTCTTGATTTGAGGAGGGAGAAACGAAGCGCAATCCAGAAGGCGTATCTCGCGCCGTCAACCTGGCACGGATGTCCGACACATAAATTTGCGTCTCTCAACCTTAGACGAGTGGGCGAGCTAAACGCGCCCGTCCCCCAGATTTTAGCCCAGGTCGGCCAAAAAAAAATGGCTGCTACCTAACTATGCACCAGCGGGGAATCGAACCCCCTACGCCGGGAGAAATTGCGACAGAGGTCGATGTGATATATACCGACGCGTGAACCATGCACAGCCGGTGCTTTCTCTTTTCCTTGAACGTCGCTCTAGGCGCATGAGCTTCCGCTTGACTTGCTGACGAAGGAATAAAGCGCAATCCAGAGGGAGTAGCGCCGTCAACCCACTGAGGTCCCGTACATAAATTTGCATCGCTCAATCTCGAATCCCTCGGCGGGCAAATACGCCAGTACTACTATCCGAGATTTTAGCACACGTCCGCCAAAAAAAAGCTAGATTGAGACACTATGCACCAGCGAGGAATCGAACCCCATGTCGTCGAGATATTTCTCCTCAATTTCAGTTGACTAGGCCGACGTGTGCACCCCGCACATCTGGTGCTTTGTACCTGCCTTGTATCTCGGTCTAGGCGCACGAGCTTCCTCTTGATTTGATGAAGGAGAAATGAGCCGCATTCGAAATCATCAATAACGAGTTCACCGAAACATGTACAACGAAACATCGCCAAGAAAAAGCATTGTTCCCGGCATATTCACCTATTGACGGGTCAAAGAAACAAAGCCCAGATAAAACTACAAGCACCAGCGGGGAATCGAACCCCGTCTCGTCGAGATGCGACAATAGCAAGGAAGCCTGAGCATGCTACCGACGCATGTTCCGTACACAACCGGTGCTTTCTCTACTACTTGAACCTCGCTCCAGGTACGTTTAGTTCCATTTCATTTGCTGACCGAGAAATGAGCCGCAGAAAAAAGTCTTCTTGGATCTACTCAACACGGGCAAAGGGGAGGCATGAACCGCACTGGAAAGAATCGAGGTACGTACACTGAATTGTGTAAAAAAAAAAACCGACCTACGGGCAGCTATCATGCACCAGCGGGGAATCGAACCCCATCCGTCAGGAGAACTTGAGGCGATCGCTACACGTACCGACGCGTGCACCATGCACAACTGGTGCTTTCTCCTCTCCTTCAACGGCGCTCTAGGTGCATACGTTTCGGCTGGATTTGCTGACGGAGAATTGAGGCACAGAAAAATACACAGCTAGTCAGAAGTCTTCTTGGACTTACCCTAGGAAAGGGACGGACATGAACCACACCGTGACCGCCAGAAAACGAGGTACTTGCAGTTATCTGTGCTCACGACCGAACGCCCAGGGGTGGTACATCAGCAATATGACAAAAAGCTTGGCTTGGGCACTTTTCTCCTTGTGGGAAAAAAAAAAGTTGGCGGAAATGATGCCTGGACTACGATAGGATAGGTCAGAATTTTATTTTTTCTGCTGTCTTGTTGGATTTTAGACATAGCTTGTCGCCTTGTGAGCTTTCGCCCTTTTTGGGCTTTTATGAGCTCGTACAAGCTCGTACAAGCTCGTACAAGCACACACAAGCAAACTGTCAAAAATGCGATGTATGTAAGAGGCCGAGAGAACCAAAAGAAAATGACCTTGTACTCTCTAGTATTATGCACCAGCGGGGAATCGAATCCCACCTCGTCGAGATATTTCTCCTCTTCAGACTACTGGGCAGACGCGTGCGCCATGCACAACTGGTGCTTTATTCTCTCCTTGAACCTCGCTCCAGGTACCCTTTGTGTTTCATTTGCCGGCAGGAAATAGAATCGAGTACGACTTTTTCTGCGATGATCGACTCACAGGAATTAGGTACTGGGTGTCAGGGGCTGAAGATTCAGAATGGCTTATCATGCACCAGCGGGGAATCCAACCCGCTTCCGCCGTGAAAAATGGCGGCAGAGCGTTATATACGTACTTGGGCTTTAGGGCCACTGCGTGCGCATGGCTGTACGAGTCCAAGCTCGCTGCGCGGCTTTTGGTAGCGATCAAATTGGCGTGCAGATCCATACAAATATCTGTGCGGCTTGGGCGCCGGTTTAAATACGCAATCAACCACGGCGATCAAGTACTGATGCCCGGCATCTTGCGGCAAGATAATATAGCTCGCACAAGAAAAACAGTGCCATGAACACATTGGTCGTTTGCCGTTTATTCGTGACAGTGTTGAAATTTACTCACAAACTTTTGCAGGAATCCTTCTACAAATGGGAGAATTTGTGGATTCAGGTTGTATTCCTCTGAAGGCTCGGCACTTGCTCGGCACCCTCGCCCGACCTTCGGTCGGCTCGAGTGCCTCGCGGGGAGCTGTAAGGCGCGTATCTGGTGGCCCGGTGTGCGGTTCTACTGCAGGGCAGAAACAATGTGCAACATGACAGGCAGAACATTCTGCCTTGTATCAGCTGTTGCTGGTGCGATGCGGAATTTGTAGGTGTCACATATGTGTGTGTTATGGCTCTGAAATTTGTCTGCAATGGCTACTTGGAAAGTCCTAGTGTACTGCGTACGTGATCGATAATTCAGGGGGCGGTGGACTGGGAGCATGTGAAAGGTAAGTAAGCAACAAGACAAGGTTCAAATCAACCTTGATCGTTCGTTTTCCCGATTTCTTTCTTCAACCGTTGGAGCACTGAGAAAAATTGACGTTCTAGTGAATAAGGGAATTCGTACAAAAACTCACTACTGGATAGTGGGAAAACCTTGGGGAAAATGTTCAATTCAGACACGCGCAAACAGTGATGAGTCAAGAGCAGAGAAAGTAAACAATAAACAAACCTAAAAAGGACTAATTGGTGGCCTGAATAGGAAATGGGGTTCCCACACGTCTTAGACGTCATCGTGCAAAAAACTCATTTTCTGGCGGGAGAATGGTGCCGTAAGAACGAGTCTAAAAATACTTTTTAGGACTCGTAACCGACACGTGCGCCATGCACAACTGGTGCTTTGTACCTGCCTTGGACCTCGCTCTAGCTACACGAATTTCTGTTTTATCTGATGAGGGCGGAATGAAGGTCGTGCCCTACCGCAATCTGGGAGGAGTATTAAACTCACACACACCGTCAATGCACCAGCGGGGACTCGAGCCCCATCTCGTCGAGATACACCTCCGAATAGCATACTGGGCCGACGCGTGCGCCATGCACAACCGGTGCTCCATCTGCGGCGTTCAACTCGCTCTATACACAGAATTTCCTGCTTCCGTCGCTGATAGTGGTGCCGTCCAAGATATCTAATTGAACCAGACCCATCATGGAGAGTAGATGTAGTAGCAGCAGTGTAATTTAGTTGTGATTCAAGCACAAGCTTCTTCATCGCCTAATCGCGACATACGCGCTTTACCGACACTTCAACGCTCGGAATTATGTCGGTACTAGATGTGCAGCACAAATGCCCGGAATAAAAAGCTCAAACCGCTGATCCATGCACCAGGCGGGAATCGAACCCTTCTCCCAGAGCAATCGCGCCGACGTACGTTCCATACGCCACTGCTGCTCTCAACACCCATCCAGTTTTTCGGTTGCCTGCCCAACTTTTTCTACGGCTTTTCCTGCAATGATCGCCTTTGCTGGGCCTTGCTGCCAACAAACGAGGTACCTAATTACACTGATCTGTTCTCCCAACCAAATGCCAGGAAATGTGAGAGCAGAGGGAACCAAAATAAAAAAAATACCTTCAAGTCTCCATTATCGTGTACTAGCGTGGAATCGAACCCCATCTCGTCGAGATTTTTGAATTTCTTTCGCGCATACTGGGCCAACGCGTGCAACATGCACAGCTGGTGCGTTGTACCTGCCTCGGACCTCGATCCAGGCACCCGAGTTTCTCCTTAGGGAGAAATGCAGCAAACATCACCAAAAAAATTCTGGCACAATCGCCGGGGGTTTTCTATTCAACCACTTTTCACCAAGTCGTAAAAATGGATCTGCCAGCGTCCCAGCATTGACAGGGCAAAAAAAAAAGCCATGAAAAAAAAATGAAGGGCACCTGTGGCATGCACCAGCGGGGAATCGAACCTCGTCTCGTCGAATGTTACAACTTGCGCACCCACATATTGGGGCGACGCGTGCACCATGCACAACTGATGGTTTCCCCTTTGTATTTGAGCCGCGGTAGGTACAATTACATGTATGCCTGGTAGTGACCTGTATCTTCCCTGGAACTTAAGCCGCTGCAAAAACGATACCTACACCCACGAAATGTACCAGCGGGTAATCGAACCCCGTTCCGCCGGAAATGACAACACTGGATGAAGTCCATTGCACCGACGCGTGTTCTGTACACAACCGGCGCTTTCTCCTGTTCTTGAACCTCGCTCTAGACACGCTCAATTTTGTTCCACTTGCTGTCAGACAAATGAGGCATATGTTGAAAACAAGCCGCACCAAATCAACGTATTGCGCTACTGGGTGGGTGAAGCTAACAACTTCAAAAGACAAGTCACGCCAAAAAATAAAAAGACAAAATGAGCTCTATTTGATGCTTACGGCGTACGCACTAGCAGGGAATCGAACCCCGTTCCGCCGGAGAATTGACGATGCTGTGGGAAATCGTACCGACGTGTGTTCCATACACAACCAGTGCTCGACTTCTGGCTCTGAATTCGCCCCAAGTGCACAACTTATGAATTCATGGGGTGATGAAAATTGAAGGCCGCGGCCGCTGTCCGGATGATTTCCTGAGATTTAATTACCTGGTAATCCCTCAGGCGGGAGATGAGCCTGCTCGTGTCCCACATGTGACAGCGAAATCAGAAAAGGAGACATCGTCCGATTCTGCCACATGCACCAGCGGGGAATTGAACCCCATCTCGTCGGATTTTATTAGGCCGACGTATGTGCCACACACAACCGGTGCTCTTTGTCTGTCCGACTCTAGCTTGAGGGTCGTCCAAGGCGTCAGTGCCGTACAAACCCCAGTTGCTCAGAGCTCTGAGTTGTTGACGGAGAAAAATGACATCAAGGATGAGAACAATCACTATTGTGGGCTGAGCATCGGCGGAACTTAGTCTAACAGTTACTTACTACTAGGCGGGGTTCAACCTCAGCAACCTAGTCAAGGCAGGGAAGGGAAAAAAAGCTCGCGAACGCATGCACCGGCAGGGAAAGGAACCCAGTCTCGTCTTAACATGATTCCACAGAGTGCTATGATGCCACTGCTATTCTATTCACAACCGGTGTTCCTTGTCGGTTCGTACTCGCCCCAGGTGCTGCGCCGAAAATATGTGCTTCATTAGCTAGATCCCCGCATATGTATGCCAAGAGCGAGCTAGAGCCTAGCGCTGCATCGCACCATCCACTTATGGTTATCCCGGATCGAATTTTTGCGGTACTGTGTGCTACTCGTTGGGCGGCGCCATCTGCACGGGCCAGATTTCGAGCCGAATGCAAAAAAAAATCAAGGGCCTTATCGTACTATGCACCGGGGAATCGAACCGGTACCCCGCCCCGTCGGAATCCGATCGCGATCTGGCGAAACTCACGCACTGCGCCGATTTTCGCGCCATACACAACCGGTGCTCCGCATTTGGCTTTAACCTCACTCTAGTTACATGAGATTTCCGAACACTACCTGAGGAAAGGAAAGTCTCCCACAAAATCATGACCCAAATGCCTGAGGGCGTCGCTTTGAAATGCACTCGCCTTGAATTTCGAGTCAGTCAAGTAATGAATTCAACCGGAGTATGCCATGCACCGTTGGGAGATCAAATATCAATTCTGTCTGCAAACCAGTGGTTGTTGTCTGTTGGTGGGCTGCGTTCAAGTTTGAACTTCGTTTGAACTCCGGATTTGGAAATTCCGTTCGAGCCAAATTCACGTACAAGTCCAACACAAATTCGTTGCAATATACTATGCAAAATCCGTTGCAGCACATTCTATCTGCATAATAAACAAACTGAATACCTTCTGAAGATAGTTGATCAGTTGTTGATCGGTCTCTTGTCGTGCCCGGCAAATTCCGTGTCGCATCACTATCAGCGTGCGCAGGTTTGGCAACACCGTTGCATGCACAGCTTCCCGTTTTTCAGAGTCCTCCCAACTTCTGCGCCAATTCTTGGCTGCATGGGCTCTTCTCGCGTTTTCACCTC